CAAGGGGCAAAGGACCTGACCCCTTGAATGTGGATGGTGGGAGCGCTTGTGTAGGAAGATGTCCTGCACAAGTGGCCCTCGTTGCTACTGCCTCTCTGAGTTTCTCAGAACACCCAGGCTTGTAGGGTGCCCACCTGGAGCAGAACCACTGATACACACGACATGTGAGAAGTCACGTCTTTGCAGCTAGACGTTGCAGACCAAGCCAGCATACCTGAAGCACCTTGTGCTGACAGAGGCTGGAAGTTTCAGAAAAAGATAATGACACAGCAAAAGGACCCGAAGAAACATGGTTCCAGTGACAGAGCCCCTTCTTCCTTCACACACTCCGCAGGAGGGCACTGCACGCTGTGTCTGGCTATTTTGTTACACAACCACAAGCTCAATACGACATGGGGCAATTCTAACACACATTTCAGCTGCACATGTTTGCCTGAAGGTCAGATTAACTTTGTATGCTTTTTTAGAATTATGGATCACACCAAAATTTGAACATGACCAGCAGGAAATATTTCACTGGAAGAAGGAAAAAACGGAAAGAAAAAGTCTGCTAGAAACTTCGAAATATCCAAAGTGTGTCACAATGGAAATAAAAACACTGACAAAGTTATGAAGGAAAAGAATCATGATAGCTAAGAAAACACAGGCAATGAACATGAGAGCATAGAGATGAGAGAGCAAGCGAATGGGGATATTCCTAAACCGGAAGCCAAAAAGCAGAAGGAAGATGATGGTAACACGGGAAACCACAGCCACCCAGCCAGCGAGATGCACAGCGGCCAGACCTGCTGGGTTTGAGGCTGACTTCACTGGGTACTGGGATGCTTCGTTACACCTGCTTCCATGATCAACGAATCCCCCCAACCCCATTTCATGAAAAACTCATTTGTCCAGAATTCTGAGCCAATTTACAGAGAATCAGCAAACATACTATGTATGGACAAAAGAGAGGCTTCCTGAAACATTCTGAAAGAATTATTTTTTAAGAGGAAAATGCTACATGACATTGACTAGTTTGTCCTCAAATCAAACTTCGCCTGTTTTGCTTTGCTTGTACACGTTCTCCTGGTGACAGCCGTCAGTCGCATCCGTGAACACCTGAAGGGCTCCCCAGAGACTGCGAGGATGGCGCCCGGCAGGGGCACGTTTACTCGCGTCGCACGCAAATCGCATGAAAACACAGCAGGCGCCTGCTCGGAGGGCGGGGCCGATTCGTGAAGGTGAGTGAACCATGAACTCAGAAGCCAGCTTCCATTTCGTCCTGATTCGACTGGCAATACTGCAATCAGTAGCGACATAAGCTCACAGGAAGCCATCCTGAGGCCACAGCAGACAGACCAGCCCCGCACCTGGACACCTGAAGAGCTTCAGCTCATACAGGAGAGGTTTGGATCCGTCCGAGAGCAATCCTAACAGTTAATGCAGCATTACCAACAACAATGCACAGCCAAGACAATCTTTTCTAAACTATTAATGATAAAAATAAAAATTTGATCAACCTTGCTAAAGGGAAGTGAATTATCTTTCTAGTCACTCTAAAAAACAGTATTACAAAATCATTGCCATATTAAGAGGAAAAGTCTGCATCCAAAAATTTAGGAAAAAATAGGGAGGTGTGTCAGGTAGCTCATTAGTGACGTTTCCCTCACTGCAGGCAGTTTGTGACACTTACCAGCTTTGCACTATTTGCAAGTTGTGTCTACTTTTCTTATCCTAATATTCCCCTTCATTCTAATTTTGTATCATTTTTCTTAAAAAGGGAGCCCCTAACTGCACAAGCTTGTGGCCCCACCCAACCTGCCCTAGACCCGGCGACGACCGCCGGCCACTGGCCCGCACGGCGCACGACGGCCGCCAGGGCCCCCGCCGCAACCCCTGCCCTTCGGGAAGTCTTCGCGCCCCGCGCCGCCAGGTGCGCATGCGCGAGCGTGGGCTCACCCGCGTCGCGACCCGGACGTACGCAGAGCACGTGATCGGGCGGCCACGTGACGTCGTACGGCCGCGGCGGGCGCTCGGAGCCGAACCGGGTGCCGCGGGGCTGAGGACCGGCGCCGGACTTGGGCTCCGAGCGGGCATCGGTCAGGTGCGATCGGTGCCTGGCTCCGGAACCTCACCCTCGAGGAGGCACGAGGGGCCCGCGCTCCGCCACGTTCTAGGGCCGCTGCCGTCTTCTCCTGGCGGGCAGGCGCCTTGGCAGGTGCATGCCCGTGTTTATAGGAGCCGGTCGGTAGCCTTAGACACCTGCGGTGAGATCCGGGCCCAATACAGCCCTGGTCTGTTTCAGGGAGCACTGCCCCACCCCACCATGGCAAGTGCTGGGCGGGCACCAAACGGCCGGAGTCCCTGACAGCTGGCTTTGCCCGGACCTTCACTAAAGGTCCCCCTCATCAGCGGTGGCCGCACACCTAGGTTGGAGCTGTCGCCTGTCACCCTGGATGTCATTCGTGCTCCAGGTCCCCCTCTACCTTTCTTTCTAATGCCACCCGGAGTGGGAAGGCAAGGGCGAGACGGAAGGGCACAGGCCGGGGTACTGCTCAGCTCCTTCCTGCCTGGCCTGGGGGCAGCGCTCCACACAGGCCCCAGCTGCGGTGCGGCGCCCACTCCCTCAGCCTCCGCGCTCTCAGGGCCCAGGAGCTGCTCCCTGGCCTTGGGACTCCAGCTGCTCAGTGTTGGGGTGCACACCACTCCTGCTGGCTCCCCTTGATCCTGGCTCGTGCTCGTGCTTGACACCAGAAGTTTCTCGGTGCTGCTTTTTCCCGATGCTTCTGCTGACCTGAGATGTCCTTTCTGCAAAGCGAGCTCCTCAGCTGCTGTCCGCATGGAGAGCTTCAACACGAAAGACGCTCTTTCCCCAAGGATTTTTATCTAGTGTTCTTAGGTGAACAGTGTATATATACTTAAGTGCAGGGTTTGTTTTTTTTTTCTTACAAAGCTGAGCAGCAAGATTTCACCACTTGAGCAGTTTGGTGTGGAAGAAATGTCTTCCTTGACCGCCAGGAAGCAGGCCAGAGGTAGCAGAACTGCAAGGACAGTTCGTTCACAGCCGCATGATCAGGTGTCGAATTCCAGTCACCACGATACAGAAAGAACCCACCGCTCTCAGGGACACGGACACTCTGGGCTACGAAAGCTGTTTTGTCTTTTTTAACAGCAGAAAAGGACATGAGTTCAGGCATTTCTTTCCGTAAGAAGGTGAGGGAAGGGGAGCAGGACACCTGATTCATACATGAGCACCTAGCTTGCCCTGGCTGGGCCCTTAAGGAGCCACCCACACCTCCCCCCACAGCCCACAGCGGCGACTCCTGGGGGAGGAGCCCAGATCCATCACTATCGGGTCACCCAGGTGACAGAGGCAGCACAGTGGTGCCGCAGGAGCGTGCTGGGTCCACAGCTGAGAGGTTGATGGGTTGAAGCCATCCCCTGCTACGACTCACCTCTCCCTGGCTTTTCCCACCACAGGTGCTGGCTTTGGCCCCCCGGGAGGCAGGCTGGGTTCCTCCTGTCCCTGTCCCAGTTCTGAGTCCCCGTCAGGGTGTGCAGGGCACTCAGCAGCAGCTGGGTCCATGGTGTTAATGGCCAGCACTCTGGACTCTGAGTCTAGTGATCTGAGTTCAAGTCTCCGCAGAACCTGCCTTGCTTGGGGCCCTTTTGTCCTCCCTACCCCCCCAAGAATGGCAAAAGCAACCCTTGCCAGGACAGCCCCCTCCTGGGTGAGGAAGAGGCTGCTGTTTCCTCTTCAGCTCACAGGGAACCCGGCCCCTCAGTGGTCAATTGTCACCTCCTCCCTGTCCACGCTCCTAGCAGAGTGGCTGCTGGCTACAGTGAGTGGGGACTCGTGCCGCACCAGGCCGCCTGCGGTGGGACCTCATGGCTCGGAGCAGAGGCTCTCCACCACACCACCGCGGCCCGCCCCTGGGCACCCCGACCACTCCCATCACCAAGTCACGATGAAGGGAAAGAGAGCCCTCGCCCGCCCCGCTCTCAGGTGGCCACACCCAAGATGAGAGGCAGGCAGAGGCCCTGCCACTCCGTGTGGTGACAGCGAGTCTGTCAGCCTGGGCCCCAGCCACCAGGTATCCTCACCTGGACAAGGCAGCTTTTGAAGGGAGGCCCACCCCCAGACTCCAGCATTCTAGGCCTGTTGAGGACACGGCAGCCTGCGGGAGAGGACTCTCCTGCTCCAGGCCAGGTGTTGGCTCAAGAACAGGCGAGGTGGTGTGGGGTTGGGTGTGGTCGGGGAGGGCAACATGCATGACACACGACAGTCTAGAGCCCTCGCTGGCCCCTGGCTGCGGGGACAGCATCAGGTTCATGCAACTCCACTCACTGTAGAGAATGAAACACAATAGGTACACAGGCCCAACGTGACATGGAGCGGGGAGAAGGGGGCTCCACAGCACAGAGGGTCTCAAGGCCGTCACTCGTGTTGGTAAATCCAGGTGCTGAGAAATGGCCCCCAGGCCGATTCACACGTGCCTGGGCACCATGCTCCACGTTCCTGCACATTTCCAGTTGTCTGACAGCCCTTCAGCTTTAACTGCCTAGGCCAACTGCTTTCTCTCCTCCCCCAAGGGGCACATGTGCGTGCAGGGCGAAGGCGTACTGTCACAGGGCGCACAGGGTTCCACGAGCTGAGGACGCACAAGGCCCAGTGTGTGGGGTGGACCAGCGGGATACTGTCTCACCTGTTCAGGTTGGAAGGGCCTCCACCTGCTAACCAGAGGGGCTGAGGCAGCCTCTGTTCTCCCAGCTGCCTCTGTTCTCCATCCTGTCTGGGATACCCACCACCCGTGTTAATACCTGTCACCCCTGCCTCCAGGTGAACTGAGCTTAAAGACTGAATGTAAAATGAAGAGGTTGGGGCATGGACCATGGCACCCAGGGGGCCCCACAATGGGAGTCTGCTGCCCGGAGCAGTGAGGAACGTGTGGCTCGTCGTGGTCACAACTTAGTTTTTCTTTTAAGAAAAGCTGGAAACCCAGATTTGTGTATGAGCCTGATTCCAAAAGGTTGCTGTTTATTCACCAAACCTCTGAGGCACATGAGTCAGAACTGGTGGGACTCAGTGATTCACAGGACACTTTTTGGATTTGTTTTTAAGCCTAAGAGACAGTAGTCTATCTCCATTCTTGTTCTTCAGGATTTTTCCGTCTTAGAATAAAAGGATACTTAAACTGGAGCAATCCTCTTGTTAAAATACTCCAATCTCACACCTGTGACAAAGAAAGCGCCATGAGGCTGTAGGAGGGAGCCACGGGGGCAGAGGATTCTGGGAAACCAAAGGAATGGAAGCTGGCAGTTGCTCGGTGTCTCCTCAGGCTGCTAGCAGGCCTGCCCCCTGACCCTGCCATGGCACCGTCACCACTTGATGTCTCGGCTGTTGGCAGGATGCCCTGGGCCCTGGCGCTTGGTGTGCAGGGCTTCCTCGACTCTGAGGGAGTCGGCCCCCTCCAGCCACTCCTGGTACAGCTCCTGCACGTGGCTGCTGGACTCGGGGAGCCGCACAGGGATGTCGGCGTAGATGCCTTCCATCTGCTTCAGCAGAGCCCTGTCCGTGCGCCCGTCCTCGCCCTGGGCCTGGCCTCTGCCGTTTAAGCATCCTGGAAGACACACGCGGGAAGCTGAGCTTCTTCTCTCCCCGCTTCTGTCTTACAGGGAAGACAGCTCTGGGGCACGACAGCAGCGGTGTGCAGCGACGTAGCCAGAGTCTGCGCTGCACCCTGGACACGCGTCCCCCGAGGCCTCCAGAACCCAGGTCAGGGGCTCACAGGCCTATCCAGGACTCCCTGTTCCTACCTATTTGTATCACTCGTGAAATGTCTTTACCTAAAACCTAATATATAACTGGCCAATCATTTGTAACTGGGTACCTCTGTATGGAAATCTGGATTTTCAGTTTCTCTTGAAACTTTCAAAACCAGAAGAGCATGGATATTGTTAATGAGACTATCTGTGTCTGCATCACGCCTGAGTGTGCTGGTCCACACTGGGGTGACCGGGGGGGGTACCCAGAGCCCACACACCCAGCACTGTGGCCTGAATACAGAACACGCCTCCTACGTTTTCATACCACTCACCCTCAAACATGTTAGATGTCAGGATTTATACCATAAAAATTCATTTTAAAGAATTTGGAGCAAATTACCATCCTAGCCAAACCTCTTTCCTCTTGTCCCTTGGCAGCATCCGAGAGGTGCACTTTGACCTCAGATCTCAGGGTGACATTCTGGTGGCCGAGGACCCTGCTCCCACTGCAAGGGGCCGTCTCTCTCCTTCGATCCCCAGCCACCTGCTCCCTGGCTGATGCTCCAAAGACAGGGTGCGGGTGAGTCCTGCCCAGACCCCACAACCGCATTCAGGTGCGGGACACCCTCAAGGCGAACATGCAACGTAGCCCTCAGGCCGCCTCCTAGTCTCTGCTCCTCCGTGCAGGCCATGCAGTCGGCCGGCTCTGATCCATCCCCGGGGCCAGTGTTCGCCCCTGTCCTTGGGTTCTCGCTGCCTCACTGAGCTGTGCCTGCCCCCCTCAAACCCTTCTCAAGCCTTCAACTGCTCACCTAGTACTTCCACCTGAGCATCTCACGGCCACCTCCATTCAGCAAGGTCCTGTCCCTGGTCCGCACCCCAGGTCGGCTCTGTCACAAACCCAGCAGGGGCCGCTGGCTCCCTTCCTCCCCGACACCCGCGCCCACTCCACCAGCAAGTCCTTCTGCAGCCCCTCCTGTCACTCGGGGACAGAACCTGCTGGAGGGGGCGGGCCACTGGAGCCGCCACCCCGGGTGCCCCTCACCCGGTGCTGCCCAGACAGTGACCTGGGACGAGGCCCCCAGGGGGTTTCCGCAGTGCCGCCTCACCACCCGCTCTTGCCTATTAGGTGGTAGACAGAGGAGAAGGACCACCACATCACAACCGGAGCGATGGCTCCGGAGCCGAGCGGTGCAGGCGGCCCCCGAGGGCCAGTCTCCTGAGGGGCTGTGCAGGGCCCCTCCGCCCAGGCCCAGGCCTCACCCCCAGCACAGGCGAGGACTTCCACAAAGTGGTGCGGGAACCTGCCCTTCTTCAGCTTGAGGACCATGTTCTGGATGTTCCGGAAGCCATAGGCAGCAGCGAAGCGTAAGAGAACCTCCCCATCCCTTTCAAGGGTGACCTCCTGGAAGTCTTTGTTCCTGCACAACAAACAAGGTGGCCTTTGGCCTGCGTCCTTCCTCAGGCTCAAGGGCCACTTTCTGATCTGAGTTTGGAATATCAGCAAAGTACAAAGGCTGTGAACGAACACAAAAGGTCTTTCGATCGTGGCTGGCAAACACTCCAAAAAGAGGACAGCAATGCCCAGCCCCAAACACATGCACATGCCCAGAGCTGGCGCTGGGCCACCCACCCAAAAAATCAGCACTACCGCACAAGCAGACCTCAGGGCGCGGTAGGTGACCTCGCCCACGTCCTCGCTGAATAGCTCCTTGGCTGCATGTCGGAAGATGTGAGCCAGGTACCCGTCGGAGCTTGCCCCGTCGTGACGCCTCACTGCCCCCTCCTCCAGATCTCCAAACCTCGCCAGGCAGAGAAAAGCAACAGCAAGAGTCAGCCAGACTTGCAAGGTTTTATGACCCAAGGATGCCACGTGACAAGTGAAATCCTTTATGAGCATTATACTTGGGGTTAAATTCTTTTACTGAGTTTTAATGACCATATGTGACCTAGCCTGAGAACCGGGCAGTGGGGCTCCACGCTGCTCAGTCACTCGCGCCTCTGATGTACGTGGGCCAGGGCGAGTCCCTCAGAGCTTCAAGCCTTGGGGACAGAGCCGGGAGCCTGAGGGCCACTCAGGAGAGCACGCATTCCGGCCGACTTAAGCACAGGCTCCAGCCTGGGCACCCAAGCTGCTTAAATGCTATAAATCTCTGTCTTGTCTTCCATAAAAGGGCCACACACAGCCATGACATTGCTGCCAGAAGGGCCGGTTGAGCAGTCCGAGGACACTGCATAGTGCCAGGACACAGCAGGTACACTGGCCATTGGTGACAGTCTCCACCGATGGGAGAAACCCAGCTGGCCGCTCCGTTTCCCCGAGGTGCCTGCCCTTGGGCAGGTCCAGATGCAGAATGTCAGGGACGTATTAAGTTCAGAAGAGAGGGTGTCGGTGAGCACATGCGGCCCTCCATCAGTACACGGGAACCTGACTGCCCGCAGCCTCAGTGGATGGTGTCCCACAGCAGGGTCCCACCCACGTCTGGTTCAGGAGCTGGGAAGATGACCAGGTCAGGGGCCACTCTGTGCCCGTCTGGGGGCTGCCTGTGGTCTCATCATAAAGTAGGGAGGCTTGGGACGCACCTGGTGAGCTCACACAGGGAACCACCCACAGGGTGCCCCTCCAGGCAAGGGCCACTTACAGAGAGTCCACAGCAGCGTCCTTCACCACAAGGTCACTTTGCTCCATTATTCGAACAACTTCGCCTACAAAGAGGCAGAGGCACCGTGAAAGGACTCACAGCCCACGCCGTGGGACGCCACACTTCCTCAAGAGCTTTTCCGACCCTATTTTCTTCCCCACAGGGAACTTTAGTTAAGGTGATCCTGGACATTGTCCCTCACAGCAGGGGCCCGCTGCAAGGGAAAAGGCCCACTTGTACGGTGTGGCTGCCAAGACGTGGCAGAGAGTCCACTTCCTCTTTCTGCCCTTGAAATAGGGATGTTTGTAAACAACCTCTCCATGTTTGTTTCCCAAGTGGAGAACTTCTGGGTAAGACAACCTCATGTGGGCATCATGCAAATACACCGAGTGTGCCTGTATGATGCACAGCTATCAGCAAAGCAGGCAGCCGGAATTCCCAATGACTTTCCTATTTCCCACAAATGAGGGTTGCCGAGAAAACCCACCAGCAGAGAGACTGGTGATCTCGGTGAACACTGGCACCAGATGTGCACAAGTGCCCCCAACTCTGAGGAAGAGTGACAGCTGCTTCTGCACTCAGAAACAAGTGGCCGGATACGGTGCTCGTGAAAACCCAGATAGGAGGGTGGGCAGAGGGTCCTTGGCCCCATTCCTTGGACAGCAGAGGATCGGACAGCTGGGGGCCCTCTCTGCCCCACTCACCCCTCCTGACAGGCCACGGGAGTCTGCACCTGGTAGTGGGGGCCCTTCCATGGGCAGAAAAAGGGCCAGGGCCCCAGGCAGGGAACTGCTGCCCTCAAAGGCTGCCCCCAGAGCCACCCCCAATCTAAAGTGCTACCGGCCTGAATGCAGTGGGGACCTGAGCCCCTTTAAAGGACCCCCACTGGGTATTAAAAGACTCAAGCTACCACTTTCGCTGACTGCAGGGAATTGTTCGCACCCACACACAAAAAACCTGATGCAGGCTCTGCACATGAGCCAGGAGCAGGCCCACTGTAGGGAGGCAGCCCTGGTCTTGCGGGGCCACAGCACATCTCCCACTTTCTTGTGGGCGAGGTGTTCCTGCATCCCCCCCGTTACCATCTCCCACACTCCAGTGTTCTCCCTCCATGGTGGGTCACACGCCAGCCGCTCACCTGAGGTCAACACACAGTCGGCACTACGGGACCCATGCAGGGCTGTGGGGGGATCCCCTCCGAGCGCCTCCAGTTTCCTGTCATAGCAAGGGGCCACGATGACATGGAAAATCTTGTCTGGGGACAGGTTCTGTGCAGAAAGAGCAAATCTGTGTTGGAGGCCAAGAAGCGGTGAGGAGGGTAGCTGAGTGCTGGCGGCCGACCCCCGCCTGGGCGCCCCTGGGTCGGTCCGGCTGCTCTGGCTCCCAGCCTGCCTCCTGCTGACCAAGCCCCTGGCCTACGACTGCCCCCAAGCCCACGAGCCCAGCACCAGGCCCACGCGTGGCACGCCTCACTTCAGACCAAGGTCACCCAGAGTCCGAAAGGCGGAGCAGCCTGGCCACCAGTGGAATGAAGCACGTAAAGCTGGGCCTGGTTCCCTGAGCCTACGTGAATGGTGATCCGACAAAACAGTCCACACTTCGCTGTCCCTGAGCACCTGGCCGCTTCCCGCTCAGACACCCTCCCAGGACACCCCACCCCTCTCCATGTCCAGGCTGGCAGAAATTGGTGGCAGCTCCAGGAGCTGGCAGTTGCTGAGGGGCCTCTGCGGGGATGCCTGGATGGAGAGGCCCTACTCAGGACAGGGCAGAGCCCGAGGACACCTGCCCGGAGCCACAGCCGCCTCCTGCGGGACCGGCAGTGTTCAGCAGAGGAACTCCTTGGTTCCCTCAAATAGTCGGGGCCAGGTAGCATGAGGCATAAAGCCCCACAGTGCACTCCTGTTCCTCAAACGGTGCACACATGCTGACATCACATTTATCATTTGCCAACTGGTGATTTTACGAGCACACAGGGAAGAAAGGAAACATCCCCTTTTGCTCTGTTAACAGGGTTGCCAGGAGTGTACGGCTTCCAGTGTTTGAAAGGCTCTGACTTTCTTGGCCGCTCTCCCAGCTCCTGCGACCCCCCATCTGTTCCCTGGAGGAACTTAACGGTCTGAGTGAGGTGGACCGTGAGGGGCCCGGGTAGCTGCAGAATAGGCCACAGGAGGGCATATACAGCACAGACCAGAGGGGCACAGAAGCCTGGGGCACCATGTAGGGGCAGCACTGGGCTGTCAGGGAACTCCAGGGACCCAGGCCTGGCTGGTGCCAGAGCTCCTGGAGGCGGCCCAGGTGGCACTGGGGGTCTGAGTGGGGGCCTGGAGTGAAGATGGAACAGCCTGGAGGCGCGTGCCCCGCCCTCCCTAGCTGGCCCTCATTCCATCACCACCCATCCCCCTGGGAAGTCTGTCTCCTGACCCGCGTGCTGCCCTCTGGGAAGAGGCTGGCTTACCTGCCGCCTGGCGAAGTAATCCTTCACCAGAGAGCCCATGATCTGCTGGGGAGACTTGGCGGTGCAGAGATGGGGGGTGACAGGGTGACCCAGCACCCGCTCAGCATATCGGACCCAGCCTGGGGAGAGAGCACCCATCAGCCCCTCACGGCTGCTGGCCCGGATCCTCACAGGCCTCCCTGGGGCTGCCTGGCCCGCTAGATCCAGCTGCATGTGGGAGGCTGGAGGCTGCTGGACTGGGCACCTCTGTGCGGGCCAAGGGCAAGCAAGGAAGGCCCGGGGCAGCAGGTCCCCGGCAGTGAACGTGGCCTGGAGAAGCAGCTTCAGGCAGCATCCCAGGCTCCAGCTCTGCCACACCAGCTACAAAGTGTTCCTGCAGCCGGAGGCCACAGCTTGAACAGGAACTGGCAGGCACATCACTTACTAGAAGGTAGACAACAGCCACCCGCTTCTCAGGACAATGAAGCAGAAGGCCACACCCAGTGAGGAATGACAAAAGGCAGTTTGTATTGTGCCCACTGGGTGCCCAGCATGGTTCTAAGCACTCCCCGGCTGCTGGCTCCCACCGCACCCTCTTGGGGCACTGTTGCTGCCGCACTTTCCTGGGGCAGATGCAGGTTAGGGAGGTTAGCAGACCACACAGCCTGCAGCTCGACCTGTGACCTGTGGAGCCATGGCTTGCACCCTTCCCCTGCGGAGCACCACCTTGTAAGGAGAGCGTCTGGTGACACCGGCTGACCCTCTAGAGGGCATATACCACAGACCACAGCGGCACAGAAGCCTGGCAACAAGATGCTCACCAGACCCCCGGGGCAGCTGCCTCCCATGTCCATTCCCGGAGGGGAGAAGCTGTGGGCAAGTCAGATGCGACAGTCCTGTCTGAATGCTCTCTCCCACAGCCGTCGGGTGCAGGCAGACCTGTGAGCACCCAGGAAATACCCACCGAAGCCTCTGGAGAAGTGCTGCTGGTGGAGCGCTGCCCTCACTCAGCCTCTGCAGGCATGCATGTGATGGTTCATGTTTAAGAAAGAACTAATCAAAGGCAGTGCAGCATTTGGGGCCCGGGCCTGGTCTTGCAAGGCCCCGCCTACCCGTGCCAGCACCTCCAGGCATGGTGCTCATGCTATGGCAACTCTGCACCACAGGCAAGCTGGCCGTGCTGAGCGGTGGCTTTGCAGGCCTCCAGGGCTGCACACGACCAGGCACACTGCCAGGAGGCAAGAGCCAGGCTCCCAAGGCTGCCCTGGCCTGGGCAGAGAGGACCAAGCGGGCCGAGGCAGGACTGGGATGCCAGGGCCCTCGGCACCCAGGCCACTGGAGCCAGGCAGACGGGCGTCGTCCTGAGGACACCACCAGCACTGAGCTCGGGCTGGGCAGTAACCGGCTGGCTCCTGGGGAGGCCTCGCCTGTCGGAACACAGCCAAAGCAGCTTTGCGGCAGCACGGTAACAGCCCTGGTCCGGCCCTATGGCCTCTAACACTTTCCCCACCAGACCGCCCTGGACCCTCAGTGTCCATCACACGGAGCATGCGTGCTAACGTGAGCAGACATGGGCAGCTCGAGGTGCCCGGGGCTCTCCAGCTCTCTGCTGGGCTGAAGAGGGCACTTCCCATAGTTCTGCTTAACTGGTGCTCTTGACAGGGTCACGGTCGGGAGAAAACCTCAGGGTTCTCACAAAGCCCCTTGAGGCCCGTGAGCAACGTGCAAGAGTGAACAGCTCAAGTGCGTCCCTGCCTCTTCCAGGTGCGGGGCAAGGTGTGCCACTGGTTTGTGGGCAGCAGCACCCAGATACCCATCCCACTTGGCCATGCTTCTGCCCAATCGGTCTGAAGCAGCAGCACCAGACAGTGGGGGGCCTGTGCCCCCAGGACACAGGGCCCCTGCGAGCAGCCACGCCCCAGGAGCCAGCCCAGGGCGGCCCACGGCCCCAGCTCCGTGTGCTAAGTCACATCAGCTGAGCCTGGCGTTGCCTTAACTGCCATAAGCTGTCATAGGGAGGCAAAAATGACACCACAATCACAGGAAAGGCTTAGTTTTGAATGAGATCTCTCGTATCCCTGAATTCGGCGGGTGGAGTAAGCCCGACAACAGCCCGCATTTGACATACTTGAGTGAAAGAGCACCAAGAGGGACAGGCGCCACCACCCGGGAGAACACTGTAAATGCTGCAAGCCAGCGAGTGGAGAGCCCAGCGGCCCACGAGTGCAGCGACACCTCGGCCTCCAGCTGTGTGCTTACCCCGCAGGCAGAGGGCGCACGGGTTCCACAGGCATCAGCCTCCACTGCAGTGGGGCTTCCACCCTGGGCTCATCCCACAAGGAGCCCATCGACATCTGCTGGTGTGCAGTCAGGAGACCCCGGAGCCCCTGTGCAGCCTGCTGACGGGAACGTCGCAGAAAGCGTGGCACCACTGCTCCAGGGGAAGGGGTCCCAGGCAGGTCACTTCATGCCGCCTCTTCTTCGGTTGGGCAGGCCTGAGACACAGTGACCGGCCCCACAAAGAGAGCGCTCAGGTCCGGTGCTGGGGCCCCAGGCTCACATCAGGGACCCCTGCAGGTCAGTGGGAGAGCTGGGTGCTTCCCGAAGCCCTCAGCTGTACACCTGACCTGGCGGCGCCAGCACAAACACCCTCAATGACGACACGTGGAACAGACGCCACAGCCCAGCAAAGTCTGCATTTATGATCAGACGATTCATACTGAGGCCCTGAGCCCAGGAATGCCTACCAAGCCCAGGAGAGCTGGGCATCCCTTTGTGGGTCACTTTGCTAGGAGGACAAATGCGTCCCATCTGAAGTGGGCCACATGCCACCAGGCCAGGGGCGGGTGAACCACATGACCCAGCGAGCCGACTGTGCAGCCTCTTGAACAGATGCAGTTTTCCTTCCATGGTTTGGCATATGATGGGAAGGCAATCATAACATCAACATTCTATTTTATGAAGTTATAATCCTAATGATTGATGGGTGAATGTAAAATGCTAGAAAAATGTGGGGCTGTGGTAGGAGAAGAGGGGACAAACTGAGAACAGAAACATGAAAACCTAAAAACCAGGCAGTCCACGACCGGTGTACATGGGGTGACTTCCCCGTGCACTGCAGGCAGACAGTATCTAGAAGTAGTTTTTCACTGAGCACCATGTTCTAGCATGGAGGGTCCTTCTTCCCTAAGCAGCCTCTTTAAACAGTTCCTTGTCCTAAATTTGGTTTTTCTAGAACTAAAAAGCCTGTGGTGAATCTTTCTACACCTCAGGCACCTGACTCTCTATAAAGACTAGTTAGACTAGTTTAAAAAGTGCTCCTGGATAGAATATGAGGATTCATGTAAAGAAATGTTTCATTCTGTAATTTTTATTTAAGCTGACAAAGGATACACAACTGTTTGTCATGTTCTTACTGTGTATTTGGATGTCTGGAATATGTCATACTTTTACAAGAAAATAGCTTTAATTTTAATGTTTGTCTCAAACTAGAAATATAGATAAGTACTTAATTCTCAGCTGTCAGGTCTCCCTACTGCCCCTGCAGAATTAACAGATATGCGGGTGGACATATAAGTACGCACCAGGCCCGAACACCTCCTTCCTGAGTGGCGTGGGCTCACGCCGCCGCGCGCAGACCAGTGTGGAACGGCCACAGCGGCCGGGGGCCTACCGGGACAGGCGGAGGTCAGCATCGGCAGCGCCGGCTTCTCCTCGGTGTGCTGGCGGTACCGGCGCACAAACTCCTTCTGACTCTCCAGGATGCTGAAATCCGCGGCTGCCGTTGTATCAAAGACATAGTGCACCCCTGCGGGAGAGAGGGGCTCCTTTACCCTCCCATTACACGGTGCGGGGTGTGCCCTGAGTCTGGACACTGAGTCGGACTTACAGAGGAGGTCAGACAGCACCTCACACCGAATGCCTGAGGCCAGGCTCTGCATGTCACTCTTTTAAACAATAAGCACGAATTGCTTTTCACGGTAAGACACCTAGTTCTCTCTCCTGCTTCCTCTTTTTCTGTTTAAACCTATACTTATGCCTTACAGCACAGCATCCACTTATAAATTAATGGAATTGTGTGAGGTACCAGCAGCATTCTCTTCTAATTACCTGGCTAAATTAAATTTCAGTCTGTGATGGCTCCTGAGATCTTTAAAATAAAGAAAATGAGAAAATTGGCTATACACACCTTAATGATCTTAATTTTTATGCTTTTAACTATCTTTTTCTTAATACGTTTTCTTAATATTGGTAAATAAGCCTGGGACAAAAGAACATACTATTTATTTTCTTAAAATCTTCCCCACAAAATAGGCCTTCACTGTGAAAAGATACAAGGTCTCATAGCCCAGATCGTTGGGAAGACTCAGCTAACGCTGGGCTGTCGGAGACTGAGAGCCTGAAGTGTGACTCGCAAGCTCGGCGGGGCCGCCGCCTAGTGTGGTGCCACCCTGCGTGCGGAGTGGTGCCTCACCAGGCAAGGGCGGGCGGCTCAGCGGGTGGACGGCTTCCGGCGAGCTTCATTCCGAGGGTCACTTTACTAGCAACCAGTGTGCTCAGGTCTTACAGACACTGGGGAACAGCAAAGACGTGTTTGGCAAATGGCTCCAGTGCCCCTCCTCTGGTGCTGCCTGTGGGCCACTGAGCGGGGTGCGCAGCTCCCCTGCCCAGGCAGGCGACACGGGAGCCCTGAGCCTACTGCCTGCTGCTGGTGGCAGGAGTTGGTGGCTCGCGCACGAGCGCTCTGCTCTGGGGAAGCCCCCTGTCCTTCTTCACATGGACACAGCCCACACCCTTCCTGCTTTGACAGCTTCCCTGGAAGCCAGATCCAATCACTACAGATAAACATCTCTCTCAAATAAACATCGCCCGGTTTCCCCGAGAGCCGGGGCGACGAGAGCCACCCCTGGTCCCCAGCCACCGTGTCCACAGATGGTCACCTGCGTTTCTCAGAGGGGCTCCCCCGGCTGTAATACACCAGCCAACCATGGGGCACAGGCAAGGTCCTCTCATGTTCCACCAGACTGTCACGTAAGTTCTCATCTATCCTGTGCTTTGAAAACTGAGCTCGAGAGATGGAAAGGGCGGCTATAAAGTTAGTAACTCACAATAGCATCAAAAGGTGCCTCACCAAGACTTTTGAGGAATCCACAGAGTCTTCTGGATGCATCGATCACACTGAGGTTGAATTTAGCAGCAAAATAGGGCAGAGACTGAGGACACACAGACACTGCCAGCACCTTGTGCTTCGAGGTGTCACATGTCTAGGAGAAGCAGACTGTATGTGGTGACTATGTAGGGCACAGTAAGACGTCTTAACAAAAACTCAGAACCAAAAATACATAATAGATGTTTTAGGAAGTCTAATAGAATAGACAGACATAGGCAAGTATAATCAAGAAAAAAGGAGAAAAAAAATTAAGATTAAAATGTCAGATATCTCAAGAGATTTTGTCAATTTTAAAAACAACATTGTATCAGTAAATGTGAATATCTGAAGAAAGGCAGGTACTTTTAAAGGAAAAATAAAAATTACAATACTGGCCTGTAAGTAATGGAAATGACCCAATAACAATGAAAAAAAATACCCATACAAGTATATTTAAATTGAAAGAAAATACACACCCACCAAAATGGGGTCCAGAGATCTGTCCCCTAAGACGCCCCAACCAAGGTCATCATGGCAAATCTTAGCACATTTTTAAGGAGTGGATCATTCTCATCTCCTCTTCTAAAAATACTCTGTTCTATAAAATATCATACAAACAAGCATGAAACCACACAGCTATCAACACCCTGAAACCAAAACTGGAAACTGGAGCTCAAGAAATCCCTGGAAAAACATGAGCAAATCATTGTGGACACGTGGGACATGACCCAGGAAAGCAAGGTGAGCGAGGGCGTGAGGTGCTGGGTCACCAGCATGACCCGGTGACCTGAGATCACAGAGGACACGGAACTGTCATAGCACAGGCCGGTCATGTCCCTGCTGCCGTCAAGTCAGGGAAAGTGGAGACCTGACTGTCAGTGTTCAGCAGCGACCTCCCACCACAGGTCTGCAGGACTGGCTTGGGCAGCCACAGGGACCTTACAGCTGGGGTACAGACCTATGCAGATGAGGGACAACGAGCCAGTGCTGAGACCGCCTGTGCCCTTTGGGTAGATCCTGCCTTCGTGAGGCCTCCCACAAATTCTGGCAGTGCCCATGCCAGCTGGATGTGGCTCCTGCAAAGTGTGGCTGGAAGCAGGAATGGGGTATGAAGCCCAAATGCTAACGGAGGAAGTAGGGTGGAGGGCGTACAAGAGAGACAAGCAACACCTGCAAGGGAATTCTGCAATGGGGGCGGTAAGGGGCTGGGCTGGGGGCTGAGCATGGCAAGAGGTCCCAGGCAGCCTCCCGGGACCAGCTTGCCTCTGGACGTCTTTAATGTGAGAAGAAGCCCCCAAGCTGTCACTAGCACGGGGCAGAAACTTCCAGCTGATACAAACTATGAACTGGCAGCAGAAAATACAAACTGTCAATAAGTCATCAAAACCTTCAGGGAGATGCACATGGGAAAACCAAGTCTGATATTGTGTGTGGTCAGGACAGCCAGACATCGGCATTCTCACCAATCACAGCCAATTAGGGGCATTCTAGCAAAACACTGGTGCCACAGAGCTAGCAGCCAGCAGCTGCTCCATAAGACGCACCAGGGGACGCTGAGCTGTGCCAGCAGCGAGCCGAGCTTGGCCACTGCTATGAAACAGCTGAAGCCGCTTTGTTCAGAGGATAAGGGAGAGCAGGTGGGGACAGGTGTGCACAGTGAATGTGGCAGACGGTGAGGGTTTCTGATTCAGGTTCCATCCACTCTGCTGCTTGCTCACAGACCTCCTGGGCCCGCACCCAGGAAGGGTCACCCAGACACAGTTACTGCCAAGAAGAGAAAGGGCCACATACACCTCCGCTGAAACCGTGGCCTTAACGTGTTGGGTGATACATCCAGAGCGTACCACAGGGTGGTTGGCAACACCGAGAAGACCACATGGCCCTGGCATCTGGGCCACGATGCTCAAGTGGACCCAGTGTTCCTCATGGACTCTGCCTGGCCTGGCAGCCCATGTACTGCCCAGAGAGCAACAAGGGCCGGGTACAGCCCCTGCACTGGCCAGCAGGAGCCCGTGCAGAGTGGAGTGCGGGTTGCCAAGCGGCCGTGCCTACTGAGCAAAGTGTCTGTCTGTCTTCCTGCCAGGAAAGCAGTGGCTGGGAGTGGAGCGACACCGGCTGGTCCGGTAGGGCACGTCAGCAGGGACAGCTGAGGGGCTGCACCCTTGCTGGGCCCAATGAGCCCGGCAAAACAAAGGCATGCCCCTGAGGTTGCCCCAGATGCAATGCACCACCCTGGGCCTTGAGACTACTATGGGCACCCCTGACCTTGTGAGGGGGGCCGGCACCAAGCCGTGGAGCCTGGCTGGTAATGCTGGCCGCCTTGCTCCAGGTAGTGAGAAAGTGGGACTCTGCACAGGGATTTTGTTCTGAAGGGTGGACACAGGGCCTGGGCCCTCTGGACAGAGGCTCACTGGGTGCCTCCCCCCGGCCCCCCCATCTCCGAGGCCACAGCACCAGTGAGCACCACAGATACCCTACCTTGTTAAGGTTGAGAATGCGAAAGAAGTCCTTTGCATTCTGCTGGGAAACCCGGACTCCTTCGTCGGCAGTCACACAGCTGTCACATGCCAGGCAGTCACTCAGAAATATCTTGGCATCAGCCAATTTATGGAATTCTCCCTTCTACAAAAGAAGATGTTTTGGCCTGACTCTTTGACAAAAACTCTGTAACCAGTACTTATGGAGAGTAACAGCATGAGCCCAATTTGGATAACTGGTGCTAAACACCTGAACCAGCACAGGGCCAGGTCCAAGGAGCCAGGGCACAGCCCGCGATGACACCAGGGAGTCACCACTGACCATCTGGGCTGGCAGGAGGCCAGCACTGTCACGTGGTAGCGGAAGAACGACATTCCCATGTCCTGGGAGCTGGCCTAGCCCTTCTCATCTCTACAGCCCCTCTGTTGCCCATGGGGCCTCCTCCTCCCTGCCTGCTCTGCACCCCAGTCTCTATGGACGCCCACTGCCTGGCCCCCAGTGCCAGCTCTGGTTAAGTATGTGCACAGGGTCCTCACTCCATCCGACGCTGAGCTGTGGAAGCCCAAACCTGCATCTCAGTGGGAGCAGCTCTGCTCACCCAGATGCGGAGAGGATAAACCTCGTCCCCAGCCCTCTGCAGCCCCTCCCTGCAACAGCACAGGCATGCCTGAGCACAAGCCACACCTCCTCTGCTGAGAGGTCGTCGTCCTCATCAACACAGCTCACAGCCCTCGTCCCTGGCACTCCCGCTGCTCTCCCGACTCCCCGGGAGCCGGGGCTGATCCTCAGATAACTGCTGGAGCAGCATGCAGCACCACCTGGCATGCACGTGTTGTCTCGGCTCGGGAAACAAACTGAGGGTAGGAACCTTGTCCTGCCCCCTTCTGTTCCCCGGCACCTCTAAGATGCCCCCCACACAGATGTTCAATGAATGTCTGGAGGATGAATGTACTGACATTCTGCAGCTTATTGCAGCCATTCAAAAAATTTTATGAGCGCTCCTATGGTTGTGCATGTTTTCCTTTCCAACACGATGTGACTTGGGCTGGCCTTCCTGTGGGAGCCCACACTGCCCTCCCTCCTCCCTATGTGCCCAAGTGCCCCTGCAGTGCTCGCCCGGGAACCTAGTTATGCAGACGCACACCCAGGAGGCCTGAGCAGCACTGAAGAGCTACCAAGTGGGGCCAGAGCTTCCCATGCCAAGGGTCTGGAACATTGGGCCTGGCACACAGGCAGTGCCTAACAGGTACTGTTGAGCTGCACTGAGAGTCCTGCCTCCACCGCCCCTGCAGCGGTGCCCATGACCAGGCTCGGCACTGCCACGCCCAGCAGGCTTCCTCCCGCCCGTGCCCAGTGTTGCTGCGCACCACCCGCCCCTTCCTTCTGCAGGTTTTCTGGGGCCAGGTCACATCCCTTCCTCTTTCTTCTGCCTCCTTGACTACGTGTCCTGCAGAAGCCTGTCCACCATCCCTTCTCTGCAGCAGCCTCACTTCCCAGCGTGGTGCCAGCTCTGTACCACCTCTGCCATCCCTGCCTCCAGTTCGACAACCTGCAGAAAACTCAGTGTCCACGGGGCTCCAGCCCGTCCCCAGCTCCTGGAGCCACACTCCTTCCTGCCTCTGCCACTCTGCTGGCCTGCCCAGGCCCCACCGCCTTCTGCCTCCGGAGTCCTCCCCTTGCCAGGACGCATACCTCTGATCTATTCCTGAGCCCAGACAGCATGAGCGGCCCCTGCCACCCATCCCCCACGCCACACCCACACCTTGTGTGTGCTTGGTGAGCACCCACGCCTGCGCCCTCACCCCAAGTCTCACTACCCTCATGGCCCACTTCAGCATCTCTTCCCTCACCTGCTCATCCTAACAGAGGGGTCCTCTCAATGCTGGCGGGGGTGCCTGCTGAGGCTGTGTATACATCTTATCTCCTTGTCACCACAGCCCTAGAAGAGAAGTGACTCAACCCTCCCTGTCACTGATAAGGAAACTGGGGCTCCCAGAGTTAGATGTCTGTTCAAGGTGATGGAGCCAGAGGACAAGCATGGGTGGCCACGGCACTGCCTGTCTTTCCTGCTGCAGTACCCTGGGTGCTTGTCCCATCCTCCGCTGCTCACTAAGCCCTCAGGTCACCAGAGCACAGGGCCACCATGGTACTGAAGGGAACCAGACCGACACTTGTCAGGCTAAACATCATTTAGGACTGCTGAACCAAAGAGAAAACCTGCTGCTTGCCTCTCCCACGCATCGCCAATCCTCCGTTTCTGAAACCGGCAAGAGTACTCTCTAGGAGAAAAGGTGACCGTAACCTTCCACCACCATGTCCCTCTCTGTAAAACGGGAACAACAGCAGGGCCACTTGAAATGCTAGTTCTGGGTTTACCATGAGATCACACAAATGAAGCACTTTTTCTAGTGCCCAGCTCAGAATATGTACCCAGCAGTCATAAACTACCACTACCAGCTGAGGATGATTTAAAAACTCAAGAATTGAGTTAGATGAGAAACCACTGGAAAAGTAAACTTAAAGAATCATGAAATCTGAATTATTTTATCAATTACCAACCTAACTTCCTATTTTACAGAATTTTAGTTAAAAAAATAAATGTTATACCACTATTTCTAATAAGCAACCATGGATAACATTTTCTTTGTCCTTAGCGTGGCCTGTTGGGGCTGCGTGTGTTCTGAGAAGGCTGCTCCTCGGTGCTTCCGCCTCTGACCAGCTGGCGTGCACACGCCTGGGGGGGCTGCTCTACCTTCTTCATTTCTCTCTGCCTTCTTAGAGCGGTGATGAACCCCCAAAAAGGAGAAAACAGCAGGTGCTCTGTACCCAGGTTGACAGAACACTGAGAAGTCTACTTGCCTCTCCACCTTCCCGGGCTGGACTCGGTACATCCACTGACGCCTTCTCTTGGTCATCGGTTTTTGTTTTTTTACTACATTCCTTGGGAAGGCAAACAAAGAAACATATGAAACAACAGTGTATAATCTGACTCAGTTAATACGATGCACTTACTGTTGTCAATGTACCTCAAATCTAGAAATCTTTCATACAGAAATAGAAGCGACCGCACTTGGGGGCGTGCGGGCGACACGCTCCTTTGCACGCGCTGCAGTGGCCGAAAACCACAAGCGCGGCCCCCCAGCAGCAGGCAGATTCAGGCCCAGCTACCTGGGCACATGCATGCTCGGAACACGGTGAACTAAAATCACATGTGACACTGAAAAGGGACCTCCTGTATATTGTTAGGTTAAAAAAAACAAGTGATAGAGTGATATTTATGATGTGATTCAATTTCTGGAAAAAAGAACGAACTGCCTACAGGCACGCTGTGCGGTTCTCTGTCATCCCCGCGAGGAAACGAGTGTAGAAGGCTTAGCGCGGCCCCGGTTTACCCAGGTGGACAGGAGGACGGGCCACGTTTCTTCCCGCACTTCTGTATTGCCTTGCCATTCTGAAAAAATGTAAATTTTCAGAAAGTGTAAAACACCCTCATCCCACCAATCGCTCACATCAAGAATGGTGTTTTCTAGGGCGGCCTGAGTGGTACCGGAGGTCGGCTTGTTTGCTGGGGCTTTGGCTTCCACGGAGGCAGGTGCACGGAGAGCTACAACGACCCGGCGTGACCGCCAGCGCGACGTGACCCACAAGGTGACCGGACCCGACCTGACCCCGGGCAGCGTGCCGCGGCGGCGCGCAGGCCCCCGCCGGGCCTCGAGCTCGCCAGCTCTACCCCAAAACCCGGACCAGGTAAGTCTCAAGACCCTGGGGCCCCCACGTTAGCGAGGGAGGCAGAGACCCTCGAGCCTCGACTCCGGGGGCCGCTCCCGCACTGCCCGCTCCGGGGCAGGGGCTCCCGCAGGCTGCTGCGGGCCGGCCACCCGACCCCGACCGCGCCGGACCGACCTCCTGACCGCTACCCGAGCAGCTCCGTCCCCCGAGCGGTCCCGACCCCGGCCGGAGCCCCCCACCCGCCCACAGCACAAGGCGCGCGGGGCCCACCTTCCGCGTGCAGTGCTCACACTTCATCTGGAGCCGGACGGGCAGAGACCAGGGCGCGCGGCCTGAGGGGAGCTCCACGAGAACCGGTCACGGCCAGCAGCCGCCCTTTGTTGCCGCCCCCACAGACCGCGGCTCGGCTTAGCCAATAAGAGTTCAAGGAAGGGGCGGGCCACACCCTTGAGCCAATAGGAACGCGCAGAGGACGGCGAGCACCGCCCAACACGGCTTTGCCCAGGCCAACGAGAACTCGGGAAGGGACGGGCCGGACCTCGGAGCCAATGGGAGAGCGTGGGGGTGGGGCGCCGTGTGAACTAGTGTTTTCGGCACCGCCGGAGGCCGGTACAGGTTCTCGCGCAGGTTTTGGTGGGGCGAGCGCGGGCCATTACGGGAAGCAAGCTGGGGTAGCCCCGGGCGTCCGGGCCGACCCGTTGGGTGCGGACAGGCGGATACCTCCCGGATTAGCCCGCCGCCATCGCGGCCACAGGGCGCGTCACGTACGCAGGGCGGTGGGCGGTGGGCGGTGGGCGCCATCTTCTCATTACATTTTTATTGAAGTTTTGGTTCATACAGCCTTCTGCAAACGCATCAAATTCGGGAGGCGTCCAGATGACCCTCTGCATTCCGCAAATCCATATCAGCACCTTGGAGAACCCCTGCCTTGGATCTTCACCGTGACAGGGACAATCATTTTAGGTTGTCATATATATGTCATATATAATGTCATATAACACATTAATGTTTTTAAAAAAACCTACCATATCGTGTGAAAAAAGCAAACTTCACTTACCTAATCACATCAAATGTAGTTTTTGTCCAGGTTTCCCCCTTTGCCTGTCTTATTTTTATTTAAATCAGGATCTAAATAAGGTCCAATTAGCCTGTATTGCAATTGGTTTGTGTGTTTTCTAAGTCTCTCTTAAAAAATAAAAAAAGTTTCAAAATTAACTTGAAGCTCCCGTAGAAGTTGCAAGACACCACAGAGAGTTCCCAGTCTTAAGGTTTTGTGGGGCTTGTTTTGTTTTTTAAATCTGTAGGTTGCTTGAACATCCTTTCTCCTTTCGTCCTTATAAAGAAATTAGGTTGCTTGGCATAGGTCTTCCCACAACTGCTTGCTGCATGCTAGTGGTGTCCCTTAATACACCTTTGTCTTCTGAATTTCCAGTAGAGAGTGGTTAGAGCAGTCTAGTGGCTTGATCGGTTAAATTTTTTGTCAAGACTATGGGTAGTGGTGTGTAATCCCATCAGGAGCTCCAGTGTTTGTGAGAGTGAGTAACGGGAACCTCAGGACATGGCTGATGGGGGGCTGGTGGGGGGTGCTGGGCCATGCTGCAAGCAGGAGGAAGGTTCCCGCCGGCCCTGCAACAGCCCAGCTAGTGAAAGAGGTCACAACCTACCCAGTGGGCAGCCGGGACACATGGGACTTCCAGTTTTCCCCAGTGGGCTTTTTCGTAAGAACAGTCCTTCCAACCCTTTCTCTGTAAAAAAGCCTCCTCTCCTGTGTTTGCCTGTGGTTCTGCTGCAGCTGCCTGGCTTTAGTCGTCGTTCTCTGCTGCTCCCAAATAAACCTGTTTCTGCTGGAGAAGTAACTGAGTTCGTTTTTAAGGTTAACATAGCTAACTGTCCTTTTTGTGACATCAGCATCCACTGATGAAATTGCCTGAATTCATTTGTTAAGATGATGTTTCTTTTTACCCTACCATTTCTTCACTTATTAGAAGGAATACGTATATAATGAGAAATTCCTCTCATCCACTACTTGGATACTAAAGAAAGGCAGGATATATGATTGTTTTTTCATTAACCAGTCAAAAAATCTGAGTTTGTCAGCATCTTCCAAAAGTAAACAAAATAATTAAAAAACATATCATAATGAGTTATGGATTTTAACACATGAGGATTTTCTGTTCGTTTGTTTTTTTCTGATGCTCAGATCCTTTTTGTTTTTCTGGCAATGAGAACCTCTTCAGTTAGGCTCCTAGATTATTTTGCAAGATGGCTAATGGTCTCTTTGCTGTCTGACACGTTTCCTTGTACATTTCCTGCTCTAGATCTGAATCTGTCCTTATCTTTAAGAAGCCTGGTTCCATTAGTAGGAATTGATATTAAAAAGCCACAATATGGATTCAGGAATTGCTTATTGTTACTGGGTTGGTCACTGTTTCTAAGACTTTCCAGTAGACAGCATTAGGAAATATGTACTTCTTAAAGACAAAACGCATACTAAATTCACACTGGTCCTTCTAATGCAAATCCAGGAATACAAGATCCTAATTAATAACTTCATTGACCTTACATCTGTGACTCCTTTCACAGTGGCATCTACATAAAATATAATGTCTCACATGGCACACATAAAAAAATCTCAGACTAACAATACTAACTCTTGATATAAAATGTGGAAGAGGGGTGGGGGAAAGATGGCAGCATGAGAAGTGAGGCAGAATCTCCTCCCAAAACCACATATAACACAAAAATACAGCAAATACAACTAACCTAAAAGAGTGACCATAAAGAAATTGAGACAGATGGCCTACATCTGGGGAAAAGAGAAGACCTCACAGAAAAGGGAAAAATAGCAAAGCCACGAGCCGGTGGGACCCAAGCCCTCTCTCCAAACCAGCTCACTGGTGGGAGGAAGAGAGACAGAGTGGGGAGGGAGCAGAAGCCCAGGACTGCTAAATACCCACCCCTGGAGAATGAACCCACATTGCATGGTGCTCTGGAGATTTGACGGGTTGGAAAGCAGGGACAGGTGGAATACTTGGAGAGACTGAGATTCCTGCCACTTGTGGAGAACAGATACCCACAACTGGACGCTTTGGGACAAAAGAAAGGCAGGCACTTTGAAAGACTTCCCAACAGCGAGGAGGCTGCTAAAGGGGCCAAGGATTACACAGAGCCTGCTGCTCAGAAGAAAGGACAGGTGGACAAAATCGTCCCAGCACACTCAGCCCAGTAGGGTGAGACTTTCAGGACACTCAGGTGCTTAATCCCCCAGCTGGCAGTACAGCCCCAAAGCCCCCCACTGCAATATGCAGCCTGCCATTCCTTCCTCCCTACCAGCACCTGCTTGCAAACCTGTTGCTCCCACTATTGTGCCAGGCCAGCTGGAGGGCAACCCCGCTTACAGCAGGTAGGGTCTTAACGCAGAGGCTGTTCCCTGCATGCTTGGCCCACTGACCTCGGCACTGGAGGCAGGCATTGCAGCGGGGAAGCAGGAAAGAGCTCTGTCCTCAAGGCAGGCACCAGTGCTGCTTGCCTGTGACGCCTGCCATCGCTCCAGGGACTGGGTAGCTCCAGAGAGTAGAGCTCCTGGGCACTAGAGGGCACCACCTACACAAAGTTATCATTCCATACTACTCAACCAGGAATGAGACATCAAAAGAACCTTGTTCAATCCAAAATCCCTCAAACTCCAGAAAGAGGGCTCAGTGAAACTGAAATCACCAATCTTCTTGATAAAGATTTCAAAATAAAAATCATAAACATGCTCATGGAGCTACAGAAAAATATCCAAGACCTGAGGGACGACTTCAAGAAAGAGAGATTTTGAAAAATACAGTAGCTGAAATTAAATATACAATGGAGGGATTAAAAGCAGATTAGAAGAGGTAGAGGAGACAGTCAGTAGAATAGAAGTTAGAGAACAGGAATGCAAAGAAGCTCAGGCAGAGAAAGAAAAAAGGATCTCTCGGAATGAAAGAATAACAAGCCAACCCTGTGACCAATCCAAACAGAACAATACTTGCATTATAGGGGTACCAGAAGAAGAAGAGAAAAAGGGACAGAAAGCGTCTTTGATGAAACAATTGCTGAAAACTTCCCCAATCTGGGGAAGGAAATAGTCTCTCAGGACATGAAAGTGCACAGATCTTCCAACACAAGGGACCCAAGGAAGATAACACCAAGACATAATAATTAAAATGGCAAAGATCAAGGACAGGGACATAGTATTAAAAGCAGCCAGACAGAGAAAAAAGATCGAATACAAAGGAAAACCCATCAGGCTATCACCAGACTTCTCAGCAGAAACCTTTCAGGTCAGAAGTGAATGGCATGATGTATTTAATGCAGTGAAACAAAAGGGCCTCAAACCAAGAACACTCTACCCAGCAAGATTATTATTTAAATTTGAAGCAGGGATTAAACAATTTCAAGATAAGCAAAAGTTGACAGAATTTATCTCCCACAAACCATCTCTACAGTCTCTACAGTATATTTTAAAGGCACTGCTCTAGATGGAAGTGCTCCTAAGGTTAACTAGCTGTCACCACCAAAGACCCCGAATAGCCACAGCAATCCTGAGAAGGAAGAATAAAGTGGGGGGATCTCGCTCCCCAACTTCAAGCTCTACTACAAAGCCACAGTAATCAAGACAATTTGGTACTGGCACAAGAACAGACCCATAGATCAACAGAACAGACTAGAGAGTCCACATATAAACCCAAGCATATATAGTTAATTAATATACAATAAAGGAGCCACGGACATACAATGGGAAAATGAAAGCCTCTTTAACTGTTGCGACCTGCTGAGGTGTACTGGGAATTTACAAAAAACACAGACAGGAAAGACAGACAGAAAATGGCTGCAGCAGCCCCGATATGGTACAGCTCTTTTATTTTTATACTGCCTTTCTAGGACCTCAGCCAAATGCTATACATATTTTTCCCTACTCTGGGGGAATAGGCCAGAACATTCTGTTGATTTTTTAGAATCTGCCCCGTAAGTTTTCACCCCCACCCCCAAGGCCATCCTGTTTGCAGGGTAAGGCATCTTGGCTCGTTTGCGAGGACAAGAATCACTCTTGTGAGCAGATAACTTCCAAGGACTGCACCGGTTGTTTTCAAGCTGGCGCTACAGATGCTTCCCCATTCTGCGTGCAGACATGGGGGAAAACAAAGGCCGTCCCTTCATCAACAGCTGGTGCTGGCAACACTGGACAGCTACATGTAAGAGAATGAAACTGGATCACTGTCTAACCCCATAGACAAAAGTAAACTCAGAATGGATCAAAGACCTGAATGTAAGTCATGAAACCATAAAACTCTTAGAAGAAAACATAGGCAAAAATCTCTTGAATATAAACATGAGCAACTTTTTCCTGAACGCATCTCCTCGGGCAAAGGAAACACAATAAAAAATGAACAAATGGGACTACATCAAGTTGAAAAGCTTCTGTACGACAAAGTATACCATCAGCAGAACAAAAAGGCATCCTACAATGTGGGAGAATATATTTGTAAATGACATATCCGACAAGGGGTTAACATCCAAAATATATAAAGAACTCAGGTGCCTCAACACCCAAAAAGCAAATAACCTGATTAAAATGATTTCTCTCATGTGTGGAGTATAACAATGAAGCAAAACTGAAGGAACAAAACAGCAGTAGACTCACACACTCCAAGAAGGGACTAGTGGTCACCAAAGGGAAGGGATGGGGAGGGAGGGAGGAGGAGATTAAGCAGTGTTATGATTAGAACACATCATGTAGGGGGGTCACGGGAAGGGCAGTATAGCACAAGTAGTGACTCTACAGCATCTTACTACGCTGATGGACAGTGACTGCTATGGGGTATGTGGGGGGGAAGTTGATAATATGGGTGAATGTAGTAACCACAATGTTGCTCATGTGAAACCTTTGTAAGATTGTATATCAATGATACCTTAATTAAAAAAAACAGTAACTCTCACATCCATAACAAAAATACATTTTATATGTTGTTATATCTCTCTCTACATATGTTTCCATCCTGTAACCTTCTTAAACTATAGTACACTTACACACTTTTCTTCATCTTGCTCTTTTCACTCAACAGTGCATGCTGTAGAGCACTCTAGTAATTCCTCGTTCCTTTTTCATAGCTGCATAGCACTCCATTGGGTGGATACTTGTATTTGGCAGGGTGCAATGAGAAGAGAAATCATACAGTTATTTGAATAGAGAGGGTTTAACTGAACAGAGAGAGAAGTATTACCTATTACTGGATATTGGAGCAAGGAGGGATTGGCTACTAAGAAGTACATGGGACTATAAAGAATGTATGAATAGCAAGACATTAGGGGCAACCATCATCCCTGAGCTACGATGGAGCACCCAGTGAGGAGCCACTTTTTCTAAGGGATGAGATCTGGACCTTGTGGAAGAGGATCAGCTGTGGCTTACTGACTGGCAGGCAAGCCTCCTGGGGCTGCAGTAGTGGAACTTGTTGGAAATCCTTCCAGGGGTGCCATGTTAAGCTTTTTCCCAGGAGTCTCACTGGAGGCATTTTGCTACAAGCTACAAAACTACTCAAGGGGGAGCCCTGGGAAGCTGGTGGATGCTGGGTGCGGCTGGCCTGAGTGCACGGAAAGAGTTGGGTGCTGGAGAAGCCCTGTGAGCTGCAGAAGTTTGCAGCTCTAACACCCAGAACCAGGAAGAAATGTTCTTCCTCCAGCAGTGTCTCTTCAGCGCCCTCTATTGACAAATCTTAACCTCCTGCCAGAGAGCACAAAAGATAAAAGGGGCTCAGATCCATACTTACAGAACAGACAAGGAAATCTGAATTTCAGGCTGAAATATAATGCATTGATAATTGGCAAAATACAGATCTTACCCAGTCTCCTATTTATGGATATTATATTTATGTCCAGTCTTTGGCTATTACAATATCCATCAGGATTTTAACTAACTCAGGTATCACTTGTTCACTCACACATAACATTTGTAGAATGCCAGTGTAGGCTTCATGTTTAAGGGGCTTATAACCTAGTAGTAAAGTTGAAATTACACTAAGTGTAAAGCAAAGTAGAACTTTCTGAGTATCGGCTTAGTTCTACCTAAATTCTAAGGAATAAGGTCACTGCCAGCTGCGGCAAGCAGGACTAACAGAGGTGCTAACAAGCCAAAGGATTTTCAAGATGGTGTAGAACCTGAGCACAGGGGAGGAGGACCATTTCAAGATACAATGTGAGCTGAGGCTTCAAGTCGGAACCTGCTGTGCTCAGGATGGGGCATTTTGCTGCAGCTTAGAACGGACGCTCTCAAGTGTGTGGTTCCTGGACCAGCAGCACTGGCAACATCTAAATCTCCAAGCACCAGCCCCTGCTGGTCCAGCAATCTGTTTCAGCAACCCACCAGGTGATTCTGATTCGTGCTCAGGTGTGGGAGCCACAAGCAGGGAGAGTATCTGAAGCACACTGGTAGATTTGTCTATGAATTAATTATCATGTGCCTATATTTGGTTGAACTAGAGTTATGCACACCGACCTGTGTATATTTCTTGCTCAGATATTATGAGCTGTTGTATTAATCTTAAGTAAATTACAACACATAAAAGATACAAAAAGCTAAAAATAAGTATGCTCCTCCAGCACCCTGCAGTTCATCTTGACCACCCTTTGGAGATCACTGACTGAAGCGGTGGGTGTGTGGCTCCGTTCCACATAGGGTGCTCCTCCATCTGGCTCGGAATGCGGCGGCAAGCTGGGGTCCTGACCAGCACCACGTGACTGCGCCCCACTCAGTCCTCATCTAGCCGCAGTGGGGGCAGGTGGGGCAGGTTCTGGTGGAGAATGGAGCAGGGAGGCCACTGAAGCGGCCACCACAAGGTTCTCCTGGGGAAAACCGTCTCTCCTACTACAATCCTTCTGCCCACACTTTAGGGCAAGTTTTTAGCCACAGAAAAGCTGCCATCGCGAACATGTGAATGTTTTCCCAGCCACACTGAGGTTTTCCCGGTCAGTGAAAATCTGGTTTCCTCCTATTCTCCTCCGTTGTATCTTGCACGGGCTGTTTAGGTTTAATTTTTTAATGTGCTGACCTTCTTACTAGGATTCCAATGAATCTACAGGTCAAATTGGGAAAACATTTTTACAGTAATTTCCCAATCATGAACGACCGTTGCGGTTCTGTTTGTGAAGACTGATGATGGGCAGCCTCACTGCCCGGTTGGGAGGCCTGCAGGGGGAGCCCCCACCAGCCGCCCCGGGTCAACTGCAGACCCCGCGGGACCCTGTTTGGGCCTCCTCACCACCCAGCAACTCTGCCTGCCCCCCAACAGCCCAGCCAATCGGCAACCATTACTCCCGTTTCCTCCAAAGGGCTTTCAGCTTAGAAGGGCCCCACATTCCCTTTCTCGGTAAAAGAGCCTCTGCCCCTCACTTCTGGGGTAGTTGCTTGTCCTGAATCAACCGGTTTTGCTGATAAGACAACCGAAAATTAAATTTTTTAGGTTAACATCCCTTAATGTTTCTCTTAAAGCTTTTACCGGTTCTGCATAGTTCGTACACATCTGCCGTTACATTTCCTGTAGGTTCTTCACATTTTGCTCCCACTTCAGGGTTCGGTGACCCCCAGACTTTCTCGGAGCAGGAACGGGCGCCTACGGACCAGCGGCCGCCGCGTAGCGCGAACCACCTGGTTCCTGACTGCTGGGCCGGCTCCGCTTGCACTGCGAGGTCACCGCGCCGCTCGGGAGACACGGCCGGAAGTCGGCGGGCCCGGAACCTAACGCCGTCCCCCTGTCCCGCCGCAGAGGCACCGTTAACCGCTCCCCAACCCGGAAGTTAGAGGCTCCGCCCCCAACGCCGGAAGTCGGAGGGCCCGGTTCTCAACCAGATAGTCGGAGTCCCGCCCGAACACCGGAAGTGGGAGGGCTCGTCCCCAACACTGGAACCCGGAGGCCGCGCCCAACCCGGAAGCCCGCGGCCCGCCGCCGTCCCGCGCTCCGGTCCTCGCGCTGCCGTCTGCGCGCCTGCCGGCTCGAGCCCACGGTAAGCGCCTGGGGCGCACGGCCGTCGGGGCTGGCGGCCGTGGCGGGGTTGCGCGCCCCGCCTCGGAGCGCGGATCGGGACCCGGCGGGGGCGGCCGAGGAAGGAGCGCGGCGGGGGTGTCGGGCGGGCCGCGGGCCCGGGGCCGAAATCCAGGGATCCAGAGCTCGTCATCCGAAGCGAGTCCACCAAGCGGTGTCAGATTGACCGGAACCCCTGGGCATCCGGGGAGCGGGGTCGCGGGCCGGCCTGGAACCCGGGCCTCGGGTGCCGCCGCTGTAGGAGCCGCGGGCGTCCGTGCGACCGGCTCGGCTGCCGAAACTTAGGGGCCCCTCTCCAGGCGGGCGGACTTGGGGTCAAGGGCGACCTGTAGGTTCTGCAGGAAGACAGGGGCTGCGGGCTAGCGAGTTCCAGGCGGGACGGCAGCAGGGGATGATCCAGGACCCGAACGGGATGCAGCCCACTGCGACCGGGGTAACTGGGCAGAGCGGGCCTTCTTGACGGGCGGGTGCTTGCCCGGTTGCCCGCCTGTCCCTGCAAGTCGCCCGCCATCCGTGTTTGCGCTTCCCAGAGCCTCCGGTGAGTGGTGCCTCTCGCCCCAGGGATGTACATGCAGGTGGAGACGCGCACCGGCTCCCGCCTCCATCTGAAGAGGGCTCCAGGCATCAGGTCTTGGTCCCTGTTAGTTGGTAAGGGTTTCCATATTTCCCCCAAATTAAAAACCTAACTTTAAGGATGAAAGTGAAACAAAACTTTGTTCTACTAACCAAAATACATCAACTGTTGTATCCTTAGTATCCTTCCAGCTTTTATTCTGTGTGCGCATTCAGAGGATCCTGCCTTGTCGTTTTTCACCGTTTAACATCTTGTCAGTACTCTGCATGCTCTTCTGAGGTCTCTGTATGTTGCAGGCCCGCGTGAGGGGGAACAGTGCATTCCTTTTCCCTTCTGTCCTTGTCCCTGCCCGTCCAAGGCTTGCTTCCCTTTATCAGTAGGCTCTGGTCCTTCCCAGGACGCCGCAGCGGCCTCCTGCTCGGTTCACCTGGCGTGCCCTGTGGTGATTCTGTGCACGGTCTTGGGTTCATCCCACACAGTTTGCTGTTGGGCTAAACGCACCTCGGGCTCCTCTGGTTCCCCAGTCGGCTCCGGAGCCTGGAGGCGACAGGCACGTCCAGTGAATACTGTGAATGGTGTAGTGTGTGTTCCTGAATGAACTTCTTGGCTGTTTCCCCCCATTCTGACCCTGCTGGGCTTGTCCCTCTGCTCTCTGCCCACAGCCAAGGCTGGCAAGGCGAAGGGCCTGCCCGCCTGGCTGTGGTTCCTGGGAGGAGGTGGGCTCTGGGCTGGTGGAGGCCCAATAGGAAGGCCCTGCTTTCTCTTCACAGGAATCTTGTCGATCGGCCTGGCCGCTGCCTACTACAGTGGGGGTGAGGGGCATCCCCTGCCTCCCAGTTACTTCCTTGGCTGTTCGGAAAATAGAGGAAAATCCGCCATTTGTGATGCACCAAGGCCTGGCCTTTGGGACCGCCAGTGCCCCTGACTCGCAGCCCCACCTCCCCCTGCAGGCGTATTCTTCCTAGAATGCCTGTCCCTCCCCGCCTGAGCTCTTCCCTGTTAGATCTCGAGCACTTTCCTGACATTCAATGCTCCTCAGAAAGGTGCTCTTGTGTTTGCCCAAGGCTGCTTCAGGATGTGCTCCGCTCTCAGCCATTCCCTGAAGTCCTCCCACGTCTTCACCATCAGAACTGTGCTGTGGGCAGAGCCCCGACTGCCTATCTCAGGGAGACACCGGGGAGGGGACAGAGCACAGTGCCACAGAGTCCCCGGCAGTCCTGCGTGACAGGCTCACAGCACTGCTGGCCGTCCTGGGCAGGAGCCCTGGCAGGCCTGGCCAGTTAGCAAGCCCCACACTCCTGCCCCTGTCTGGGAAAACGGCCGTGCTGGGAGGGGTACCCCTGGGCACACCAGGCCTCTGCCGCCGTCCCTCACCTGGCTGCGCCCCGTGTCTGCCCCCAGATGGTCTGGGCTGGAAGCTCTTCTACGTCACAGGCTGCCTGTTCGTGGCTGTGCAGCACCTGGAGGACTGGGAGGTAAGCCCTGCACAGGCGGGGCGCTCGGGTCCCCGCCCGGCGTCCCTGCCGCGGGAAACGGCAGGCAGGCAGGCCCCGGGGCCCGACGCCCCTGCTCTGGTGCTTTAGTTCAGTGGCATCCGGTCAGCTGGCCCTGGCCCTGGCCGTCACCTATCCGCAACCGTCCCTAAGGAGCCTCGGAAGGCGCTTTTCTCTGGGAAGCCCGTCATGACTGTTTTCACCCAGGCTCTCAGTGCTGCGATAGCAGAGTGGAACGGGGGGTGTCCGCTGCCAGTGACCAGCACCCTCCGCTCACCTCGGTCCTCTTGATGAGTCCTTTGAGCTGCTTTCTGACCTCTGTTCTCTCATTTGAAGAACTTCAGCCACTATACTTACTTTTTTCTGCCTGCAAAGAAGGGAGAATACCTGCTTCCACAGCCACTGCCTCTTTATACCACAGCTCCTGCCACCCCCTTCTCCCCAATGAGGGGCAGAGGGCTGGGCTGTAGGTGTTTGGCTCTGGTGGAGCAATACCTGGGGTTCTGACGGGATGGGAAGGAAGTGGGATTACCCCCTTCCTGCATATCTGCGCTGGTGAGGGTGGGGATGTGGTGGGCAGGCCCAGGTTCCCCCAGGGTTTGTGTGTGGTTGGCCGGCGCGCAGAGGCCAGCAACGGAGGGACCGCCTTCTGGCTGGTTTTCCAGGAAGCCATCTTCAACAAGAGCACAGGGAAGGTCGTGCTGAAGACATTCAGCTTGTACAAGAAGCTGCTGACTTTTTGCAGAGCAGGCCACGACCAAGGTGAGGAGGTGTGGGCGCCATGGAAGGCGGGTTACTCTGGGCTGGGTGGAGGGCAAAGGTAGCCCGGGCCTGCAGCTGGAGGCGGGCTGAGCCCAAGCTGCTGTTTGATGCACAGGGCAGATGCATGGGGCCCCTGGTGCACCCATCCCAAAGGAAATTGCTAGGCAGCCCTCAGCTCGGCGACTGGTCATTAGGGACCAGCATCCGGGGCTAATGAGCAGAAGGGTGGGCAGCACCTGGACACATCGGACTCCTCACAGGGCACAGCAGGGCTTTCCTAGGCAGCAGTGGGTCCACTGGATGTTGCTTATCACCCAGGCTGGATGGTGACCAGCAGCTGCATGACTGGTCTGTGGTCACTGACCCGTGACTTTCCCCTAGGGTTATGTCACACAGTGACAGATGCTGTTTCGTGGCATGATGTCCTCTGGTGGCCCCAAAGCATCTGTGCCCAGCATATGGGCAGGAGAGGCAGGGTGGGCAAAGGATGCTGCCACTGACCTGCCCCCCTCACAGTGGTGGTCCTGCTGAATGACATCCGGGATGTGAATGTGGAGGAGGAGAAGGTCCGGTACTTCGGGAAGGGCTACGTGGCAGTGCTGCGCTTTGCAACCGGCTTCTCCCACCCTCTCACCCAGAGTGCCATCATGGGCCACCGCAGGTAAGCTGGCAGCTGATTGGTCACAGCTGTCAGCCTGTGCCCCGCACCCCCATCAGACAGCCCCCATAATGGATCACCCGACATGGTGGGGTGCAGGGAGAGGAGGCCTCGGGGAACATGGGGGAGGAGGGTGTAGACGGAGGACAAGTCTGTCACCACTGCTAGGGGGTGGTCCTCCCAGGGACAGGACAGGGCTGAGCTGGGGTGCGAGTGGGGACCAGGACAGGTGCTGGGTCCTGGTGGGGAGTCCCAAGGGTGTGCAGGTGGGTGGTCTGGGGTGAGGCTGGCACTGTGGTGGGGCGCCCCCGCAGTAACCCCCTCCCTCCCACTGCTGGCCTAACCCAGTGATGTGGAAGCCATCGCCAAGCTCATCACCGCCTTCCTGGAACTGCACCGCCTTGAGAGCCCCGTGGAGCTGTCTCAGAGCAGCGACAGTGAGGCTGAGGGCCCTGGGCGCCAGAGCTGACGCCCACAGAGCCCCCAGAGCCCCCAGCCTGGGTTCTCTTGGCGCCCCCAGAGGCCTCACGGGCTGCTGGCGGGTGTTCCTCTTCAGCCCCGGCTACGTTCCTGGCAGCCCCGGAGCCAGGCCTTTGGCCATCCCTGCTGCTTGCTTCTGCCCTCTGAACAAACCCACAGGCTGGGCCTTCCCTGCAGGCCTGAGGCGTCCGGGGAGGCACGAGCCCCAGATCCGCCTCCTGGAGTCACATGGTCTCTGCCGGCGCAGTGTGGGTTGTGAGGGCGAAAGGCAGCATGGCCTGGTCTGGACAGACCCACCCCACAGCCCACCAGCCAGAGCCTCTGAAGTAGGAAGGGCACCAGGCTCCCCACAGCATTGGGCCGGGCTGGGGGGTGGTTTGCCAGCCCCAGTTCTATAGGATTTCAGCTCCCAGAGTACAGGGAGGCTTCAGCAGGCGAGGGAGCAGCCTGCAGCCAGGTCAGGCTCCGAGGACGCTTGCACTGGCTTGTCCCCAGGAATCCCAGTGTCTCCCCCATCCCACCAGCATCCCTTCTCTGGTTGGATGACCTCATTGGGGCTTACCCACTGGCTGCCAGGCTGCAGGGCAGACACCGAGGGGCCCACCTGGCTGCCAGGCTGCATTCGCTCCTGAGGCCTCCCCAGTGCAGCCTGCTCTGCCCCAATGGCGCTGCAAGGACCCTAAAGGGCTCCAGTCAGGCTGTCACAGCACCTAAGCAAAGGCATCTTGGCTAGAAAAGGTCTCTTCTAGCCTTGGGCAGTGCTTAAACACCAGGCCTCTCTCAGAAATGAGATTTCCAGCTTTTCTTGAACCCTGGGAAGACCTGGTAGTTGAGCCCCTTTGCGTGTGGCAGGAAGTAGGTTGGGCTCACTGCCACCTCTGGGCCCGGGCAGCTGCGACTACCCTGAGCTGGGTCCCCAAGAGCACCCTGAGGTGCTAAGGAGGCTGCGTGGGAAGGGCTGGGCAGACCCAGAAGGCAGTGCCGCCCAGACCCCAGGCTGCGGCCCTCTGTCTGAGAGTGAGGACATTCATAAGGGCTCTGGAGAAATGCGGCCCCCTCCCTTCTCAGCGTGGCCACCTACCAGCCTTTGTTTAGGAACAGTCATTTAACCATGCCCAAGTTAGGCTGTTACATGGCTAAGTCTGAAATGCTTTTGTTGCTGAAGTAAAGTGTGAAACGGTGTAATTGGTTTCTGGTGGGCTGGGAGGCGCTCTAGTTTGGCTGGTTGGCTCCCCTCCCCTGGGGCTGGGTTGTCGGGGCCCGGTGCTAGGGTTGAGGTGGGCCTGGGGACCCCGTGAAGGGCTTACTGCAGCCAGCTAGGACCAGGGCAGCAGTGAGGTCTCAGATCTCCACAGGCACGTCTAGCTTGTGCTTTTTATTTCAAAGGAATCAAAGGTCTACGCACAGATCAGGAGGCCCGCCTGGCAAGCTTTTTCCTTCGGTGTTTCCTACTTCCTCTCACTGCCTGGTGCTGCCATCAGCGAGAGGCAATTGTGGTCTGGTGTAGCTGGGTGAGGCTGTGGGGGGCACACTTGGCCCAGTGACGGCCAGGCCAACAGCCCACACTCGGCACCCCCCTCAGGGGTCCTGACCTGTGTCGGGGCAGGGGCTGGCCAGCAGGGGTGGGGGGCCAGCCGCCTCGCTGAGGTCCTGCAGCAGACCCTGTAGCCTCTGCAGGCTGGGATGCACGTTCTCCTCCAGCCACTCCTCCACGGCGTCTGGGTAGAAAACGCGCCGTAGGGCGGCCTGCAGTTCCTGCTCAAGGGCGCTCCACCTGGCCAGGAGGCTGGGAATGGCAGGCAGCAGTGAGCCCAGGGAGCACACCTGTCTGCCCCTCTGCAGGACGGCCATCAGCACCGGCCGCGTGGGCTTGGTGGAGATGACTGAATGACGGTCACATTCTGACACCTGAAAGTGGGATGCACTTCACAACTGGCTGGCAGGGTTTTGGTGCACAAGCTTGTGCACAGCAGACAGCATCTTAACACGCAGTGGGGACAGTGTTGGACTCAGCTCAGCACCAGAAGCCAGGAGAGCACAGGGAGGGCTGGCCTGCCCACAGGACCCATCCCCGCAGTGCTGGGGAGGACACAGCAGGCCCAGAACTGACCCAGGCAGCCTGGCGTGGCGATGAGCCCTGGCCCCTGCCTGGGCTTTCAGCTGGGAAGGCCCTGGCTTCTCTGACACTGAAGGCACAGCTGGGTTAGGAATTCCTGGCTGTGACATCTAGAAAGCCTGTCTTAGTTCAAAGGCAGCTGTCACAGAAAGCTGCTGCCAGGGGTAGAGGACCCAGGTGAGCAATGTGGGAGGGCAGCTACCTGAGCACCTGGGGCCGGATGTGCTGGACCATGACGGGGTGGATGAGCCTCCGCCTGCGATGGTAGTGGCTGAACCAGCCGGTCACATACCTGGGGGCAAACCACACTCAGAGGTGGGTAGTACCACATTCTCGGGGTGTTTTAAATATACCTTTGAAAAAACTGAAGTCTGGTTGCAATGTAAAAAGGTTGTTCCCCTAGGAGGTCTGTGCAGGGGAGGGGCTCGCCACTGCCCACTCACCTGTCCCGCTCCAGCAGTGCGTCCACAGAGCTGCGCAGCTGCAGGCTGACTTGCGTGACGAGGGCCAGGATGTCGCTGCCGGGGAAGGATGCGGCCTCCTCACTGCAGAGAGCCCGTGCTGAGACAGTGGACTGCCAGGGGGAGGCAGGGCCGAGGGGAGGGTGGTCACCTTGCAAAGTCGGTTATTTCTAGGCTTGAAATCCCGAGAAAGTCCTCCACTCTTGCTTTCACATCTTCAGCAAAGCCTCCTGAAACCAACCGCAGATGGAGGCAGTCTGGAGGGACAGGACACTGGACCTGCCCTGGCTGCACCGGGCGGACCTCTGGGCCCTGGGCAGTGGGCAGAGCGACCCGGGAGGACTGGTGGCCAGGCCCAGCAGTGCCCCCACCAACCCCATGGGGAGCGCAGCAATGGTGAGCCTGCTGCTCCCCCTTGCACACAGGGAAAGTGGAAAATGGAAATAAGCTGAATGTCACTGGCAGCATGGCCAGGGAGGGTGCCATGATGCTGCAGGGGGTGAGCCTTCCTGCCAAGCAGGAACCACCCTGCACTGCCC